AGGGAAAGAAATGGTTTTCCTATATGTAGAAGGCTATCAATTTAAGAGCCTGCAGCAGTGTATTAGTAGGTGGTAGATGTATTAGGTAAGATGAGAGCTTTCAAGCTAAGACATCATGTAAAGAGAACATCAAAAAAAGGAGATGATGCCAATCTGCATGTTCAGCTGAGTAGGCTGGGAGGAAAGATCCACTGAAAGGTCCATGAAGTGCCAGATCCTTTCATCGGCCATTTTATGCCCGGGTGGGAGCATCAAGTGTGTTGGGGACTTCACAGGTTTAAGATTTCATCCTCAAATTACCCCCTTTCCTTTCGAGTCTAGGCAAGTGTTGCTGACTTCTCAGTCCCTTCTTGCAGAGGGTTTCACCAACTCCCAGCTGCTAGGAACAAGCTGTTTTTCTGTTCACTGTACTCTATTTTAATCAACAGTGACAGCTTCTGGTACATTTCCTTGTGGGTTTAGTTAAAATAATACTATTTATTCTGTTTTTATATTACTGCGGTCTTGGCTATGGGATGGTGAGATCAAGTTCACACATCAACCTGTGAGCTTCAGGGAACTCGGTGAGGTGTTTGTGTATAACTGAGAGGAATGTGATGGGTTGGCCTTAGCAAGAAGGATGGCTTGTAGTGGGATTGTCCTAAGGGTCTGGAGACCAAGGTAACAGTATCTGTAAAATCTGTTACCTCAGTGTTACAGTAAAGACCTTCTTTAATAGTTACACTTCAATGAAGTAAGAACTTTGAAGCTTGGTTACCTTATCAAGTAATAGATGGTAGAATCTAGGCTGTCACAAGGAAGTCTTTATGGCCTTTGGATGATCAGGAGATAAAACCATCTGTTTCAGCCTTTTGCTTTCTTCTGAATAACTGACCAATGATTATAAATACTTGCAGCTTTCAAATAAAGTGTTTACTAGATTTAAGATATGTCTAGCTCCCCTTTGCTTGATAACTGCTAACCTGATGTTATCTTCTCTTTTCTTAGGGCTCACAACAGCATTAAGCCAGAACTTTCCTGTTAACTCTGTATTTGCAAAATGGCTGTTGCTTGATGGCAAGAAGATGCAAGATCAAGGTCTTACTTTTTGTTGTGACTGTGTGACCATAAAATACTGGCACCATCAAGTTGGAAATGATTTAATATGAGTGCAGATTTGCTTTTTACAATAGAACATTAAGTAAGCTAAAACTATCAACATTTTAAACCAAATTGCCTTATTTTTCTTCCAAACTTCATATATGTGTCAGGTAATATAGGCTTGAAAATGGATATCCTGTGGTGCTAAAGTACTTTAGAAAGAGGCGAAGGAGACGTGTATAAATGTTTATTTTTAAAAGAAAATGTACAAAAAGGGGAATTTTAAAATATGTAACAGCTGTTTATATACATTGATTCTTATTGCTGATTAATATGTATTGCACAACCATATTATTAATTACGATTCTGGGGCCTGGGATTTTCTAAATGTATTATCAGCCTCTAGCTTCCCAGCCTGCCCAGATGCCAACAAGTTCATGGAACATGTGGTAAATGGAGCATGTAGTGTAATGTAGCACGGGAGCTGCTGCTTGAAATGTTAACCACAAGTGAGATATTTGTGCACCAGCTGGCACTAGCAAGAGCTGCTTTTTTTCCAGTGGAAACAATGGCCCAGGACAGGATGAAACAAGTAAGTAGTGTTAACTCAAGAAAAATGGTGCTGTTGATATCATCACCATCATAGTTTTAACTCTGTGTTTTGTCTTTGCCATATATCCTACAATATTTTATTTTGCCATATGACATCTTTATGGTGGGGGCAAACTTTGCACTTAACTATACGTGCAACACTTGCACTTTTTTTTTTCCCTCCAACTGTCTAAAATTAGAGCAGCTGCATTAGAATTACAATTGCTTTTGCTGTGAACTTTTCCAATCATGGCTTTTCATGTACTAAACAGCTGTGTGTTTCTTTTTTTTTTTTTTAAATCACAACTGTAATTCAGTTTATGACACATGTCTACATGATGTTGCCCCTAAGATTTTTGCACACTATATTCTTGTATATTATTTCAAATAAATTCATAAAAATTTGGCATTGCGTGGTTCATAAAATGAAGAAGACTAAAAATTAAGTCAGCCCTGCAGTGATGAGCACCCATCCCAAGTGTATTTTGATGCTTTGCAGTTAGGAAGCTGCTGAAGAATTTCAAATACTGAATTCAGAATTGGATAGTCAATCTTCTTTATTACAGTTTAAACAAAAAGAGTTGAAATCAACATAAATTATTTCAAAGTGAATAGCAGTGCAGTAGAGGATCACTTATGTTATTTATAAGTATTTTTCCTTGTGTTAAAATTAGTGATTTTTAGATGGAAATTGTTAAGTCCAGCATTTCAAAAGTACATTTTTCTGAATAAGGCTAAAATGTATCCCAACTGTTTCAAACTGTACTTGTAGGAAAAGAGCTACTGCCTTATTGAAGATGCTCAGATATTTTGTTGTAGTTGCTGAATATTTTCTAATGTTATGCCTTTCTAAAGTCAGGAGGGCTAAAGAATTACTCGATTTCGTTAGAATGTAGAATTGCAGCACATAAAAATGTACTATTTCCTTATAATATTTGTGTATAAATAAGTTCTTACAATGCAAACGTAAAGCAAGATGACAGAAGTTTCACAGATGAAGTAGGTAAGCACAGTTCACTAAAAAGCTTATGTATTTGGGAATAATTTACATGAGCCATAAGTATAGAGGTGGCACCAAAGACCCATGACTGTTACTTTCCATTCCCCATTCTGAGTGAGTTGTCCAGGTATGCTCACAGAAGGGTTGACATGGCTTTCTGCAGCAGCTGAACCATGATGGGATACACGGGTGCAAACTCCTTTCCCTCTCTCGTTCTTACTGATTGAACATAAGCTTCCAGGGCACCTCTAAAAAAAAAAAGGAAATAAAAGTAGCTAAAGCAATTAAATAGCATACAGGTACTGTAAGCTCAGGATCTTCAACTGAAATTAATCAGCTTCTTCCCTACTGCAGAGTTTTCCTCAGATGATCTTACATGTCTTGGTGGAGGGAAGTGGGCAAGAACCACCTTACAGAGCTCTACATATTTCATATTTGTTCCGTGATCTTTTTCTCCCTGCTCGCGTGTTTTGAGGAGCGAACAAGTTAACATTTAAATAACCATCAGCAGCATGTTGCAGATGGCTTGAAATGACAGCTCTGACGCACAGACTCAGGCACATTGCTGTACTGGTAACCTTTAGAAAGGGAAAGAATAGACTCCAGCTGCCAGGAGTACAACTTGGGGAATGAAAACTGGGGCACTGGTAAGAGCTGAGATAACTTTAGGTGTTTTCCTGGCCGAGTCTCACTGCCGTCCTTGGGGAATGGCTGTACCAACCCCCAAACTCTGTGTGTGTGTGTCTTTGCTGGGTTTTTCTGGTACCTGGTGGTAGGATGTGGCACACAGCACTACCATGATGAGCTACACAGATACATTTCAAAGCTAACAGGGACAACTGCCATGATGTACCTGTCTATACATAACTTCCTTTGCAGCACCAGCCTGCCTGTCATCCAGTGGTTACAGTAACTAGTGGTGGTGTTGCATGACAGCTTACCTGTAGCATAGCTGTAGTTACAGCATATCTGTAAAACAAAGGCTTTGTAAATGCTGCTCTTCAGTTTTTAATAGTTTATTAATTAGGCCAACTTTGATGTGGCTTCTAATTTAATTGATTTTTATTTTTTTTCTGGGAGGCTACATAAGGGCCTGGCAAACTCAGCAAACCAGAACAGGTGAAGGTAGGGAGACACTAGGTCATAACACACGTTGTTGCCTGCCAGTAAAGCTACTGCTAAACCAGCAAGGGCTCTGAACTTCAAAAACTAAAACACACCGACATTAGAGCACTGCTGGGAAGCTCCAGCAAAGGTCACTAACAAGTGGGAGATGCTTCTGAGGCCAAAAGCCTGTCCTTGGTTTGCTGGAGAGATGTCTGAGCTTTGCCCCACTCCATGAGTTGGCCCTAGGGCTGCATCTGCTCCTGCCAGCACCTTCCATCCCCATCAAAGCCAGATGCTGATCTGGGAGTCTCCCTGCCAGCAGGCAACAGGAGCAGTTGGGTGGCTGCACATTGCATGCTGCACACACACTCACTCACACACTCCCTGGCCTGTCACTAAGGGCTTCTGACCGGGTATGAAATGTGCTGTGCCTGTGCTGAGCACAGGATGGGGCAGAGCCACCATCCAGCACAGCTCCTGATGGCCCCAGTGGCCCAGCTGGACTCACTTCCTTGCTGAAACCCAGAGCACAGTGAGAGTGAGGTGGTGCAAAAGGAGGATGTGCTGGATTATTGGAGAGTTGAGAGGTTTCAGAAGAATCAAGTGACTGAGCAAAGAAACAGTCCCTCCTGTTGGCGGGAATGCACTTGAGAGCTTTTCAGTTTTTATAACAGTGAGTTACTGCTGAGGGTTTCACACCAGGTACCAACACACTCTGAATCACTTGGCATTTTTTGCACATCAACAAACAGCAAGATAAAAATCATCCCTGTACAGTCAGAAAGGCAGGGGGAAAAAAAATGATTATTTTATCTAGGCAAAACAAAGCTGACTTTGCACCTGGTCAGCTCCCTGACAACTTTCAGTCTGCTCTTCCTGGTGGTCTCTGGGGAGCAGCACAGCATCAAGAAGGAAAGAGGCAACCACTAAATAAACTGGTTGCTGCAGCCACAGGGTGCTTTGGGTGCAGCTCACCTCTCCCAGCAAAAGCCGTGATGGACTGCAGAGGGATGGGGCACATCCACAGGTAAGCTTTAAATGCCAAGATCTAGAGAGAAGAAATTGAGACTGGGACAGCAGTGCCCTTGGTCAGGGTGCTTTTTAGAGAAACTGGTCTCTCATGGCCATGAAGGGCAGAGCACGTGATGGGCAGACTGAGCAATAGGTGGGAGATCCAGGCAGTGAAAGTGCAAGGATTTCATCAAGATGAAGGGAGATGCTTCACAAGGGTCAGATGTGTGACATTCCCACTCAGTACTCAAGTGCCCTGGTCAGCAGTAATCGTTAAGCACATTAGATGTTAGTTACCTTCTACAAAGAATAGTCCCTTGTATTAAAAAAGACAGTGGGAAAACTCTTGACAGTTTTCTTCCTGTAACTGTCACTCATCTTGCTGACTCTCCTTCCACTCACCCATGTCCCTGTCTTTTCCTCTATATGCTCCCCAAAGTTTGTTGTGCCGAAATGGTTTTTAGAAGTCATCAAAAGCTGAAAATAGGAAAAAAAACCAACACCCAAACATATTGACCTGCTTTACTTAGGAAGCTCTGACACCTCTTGGTGAAGTTACGGATTGGCGTCATTATCCAGATGGTAATAACACTGTTACCCCTTTCCAACTTTATCTCCTTGCTTTGAAAGAGCCCTTGAAAAAGATGACAGAGATAACCAGATCCCTTCAGATGAAAGGAAGAAGTTTACCCTAAAAGCAACACCCAACACCACTCAGTGTCAGCGCTTGATAATCCTTAGCCAGACTGTTATTCCCCTCAGCTCAACAAGAGGGAGTGAGATTTAGGCTAGACTAAGTGCCAAAACCAGTATTGGAGTCCTGCTGACACACCCTCCAGCAGCTTTTATCTTTTTTCTTTCCTGCCTCGAAAAAATCTGATTTAACTGGCAAAGCCAACTCCATCAGTGGCAGCTGCTGTCCTCTTACACCTCTAAAAAGCAGCTGAAAGGAACTCTGCAAATTGTCTCATGACCTCAGAACTGCCCAGACCCTTCTTTCCGGCAGAGACCAACAGCCAATAGAAGCTGAGCTGCTTGGCTCTTTTTCTGTCATTTTGCTCACATTGTTTCAAAGAGGCAAACTTCATCAATATGACCAACACAGCAGCATCTGAACTACTGCTCTTTTCCACTCAAAAGACAACTAATAGTTACTACACCATCAACAAGGTGAATTCTCAGGGTTTTTCCCTAAAAAGGACATCGTACAGCTTTACATTCAACAATGGGAATACAAGCTTTTGCAGCTCTCTAATGCCAAATCCATTCACTACTTTCCCATGTCCCATGTTTGCTCTCCAATAAAACTGATTAAATGCTCTAAAGCTGAATGGTAAAATGCAATTCATAATAACTGGGCCTGAAATGCTGGAACAAAAGCTTGGTTCTTCTCAGTAAGAGTTATGCTAATAGTCAAATCCAGGACAAGGTCATGGTGAGCACTGACTTCTCACCAAATGTAACACTGATACAAGCTCCCTTGACTTGTCAGCCTTCAACTTGAGAAGGTTGTTTTGCAAATGCCACCACTCTCTTTTGGTATGGATGTCACTGTAACCCTGGGGGAACAACTGACAGGAACTACAGTGCAAAAAGAATGAAAAAGACATGGAAAAACACCTACATCACCAAACAGTGGACATGGGCACCTCCAGAGCAGAACTGGCCTGGAGAACTACCTACCCATCACGGCTGAGCAGCAGTTCAGATCCCCTGTGAGCAGGTAGAAGAAAGCAGCTGGGGGAGGGTTTCACACTGAGTGAGAGGATTAAAAACTTACGCAGC